TTTTACCCTATATCTTTTAAATAAAAAAGAAATTTTTAAAAATGTAAAAGTTCAGTTTTCAAAACTTTTAGTGACTGTGCTCTCCACGTGCAGGATGGGCTTGTAGCAAGCACACAATAATGTGGTGCTATTATTATATTTCAAATGCCTGGGGAGTTTAAGCCCAAATAAATCCCCTGGTAAAGCAATTTTGTGAAACAAAATGTGTTTTGGCTTTTGTTTTAAAGTTGCAGTTCAAGTTTTGCAAAAGGAAGCCTATCTGTAAATAATTAGGGATGAGAGCTGCCGATTGAGGCTGGGATATTGCTTCCTAATCTGACTGGCTTTGCAGTGATAGGAGAAAGGTAGGTTTTGACAGTAAAGATTTTGTCTGAGCTGGGCATGGTGGTTCATGTCTGTAGTCACAGAACTTTAGGAGACTGAACCAGAAGGATCACTTGATACCAGGATTTTGAGACCAGCCTGGGTAACATAGTGAGACCCTCACCCCCACCATCTCTACAAAAATTAAAAATAAAAAGAATTTGTCTGATCTTTGCCTAGGTTCCTCAGCGGGAGCTTCTAAAGCCTTGAAGTTTTCAAAAACTCCAAGCATTTTCCATATTAATAAGCCTTATTATTATCTGCTAAAACATGATGGAAAAAAAAGGAAGCAGATTAAACTGGCCACCATGATACATTCCATTCCTGCATCTAGACTCTCTCCCAAGGACTTCAAATGTTTGACACATGTATCCTGAAGGCATTTTTAACAGGATGAAGTTTTTTTTCTCCTGAGTTTGGATGAGGTAGGACTCTGTCTAGTCGACCTTACTGGTTATTAGAAGCACATGATGAAATAGAAAAAAAACCTAGATGTAGATATGTAAATGTAAAACAAACTTTACATAAATAAAAACACTTGAATCTAAACATTGCACACCATGTGCCATGAAAAAGTGAAATAAAATAGTCAACATAGCAGATATAACCTAATAAGTTATTGGTCTTCAATGGAAAAGGAAGAATCTTTTAAGCATCTAAGCAAATATGTAAGATCAATTTTTAGAAAGCTAAACAGTCTGGGCTGGGAGTGATGGCTCACACCTATAAATCCAGCACTTTGGGAGGCCAAGATGAGAGGATTGCCTGATCCCAGGGGTTCAAGACCAGCCTGGGGAACTTGGTGAGACCTCATTGCTAAAATAAATCAAAAATTAGCCTGGCGTGGTGGCGCATGCCTGTAGTTCCAACCACTTGGAAGGCTGAGGTAGAAGGATCACCTGAGCCCAGCAGGTCAAGACTGTAGTGGCCATGAGCATGCTACTGCACTTCAGCCTGGGTGACAGACTGAAACTCCAACTCAGAAAGAAAGAGAGAAAGAGAGAGAGAAAGCCTAACAGTCTGGACTGAATCAGAAAAACAGCCACTCTAAGTATTTTGGCAGTAATGTGTTTGACATTAAGGGAGCGAAGATCAGGAAAGTGGCCACAAAAAGGCAGAGAAATGGCAACAAGGCAGAGAGTTCCCCATTTTAACAAGAAGTCACTGTTCTATAAGAAGTCACTTACATTCATCCAAGTCTGTCTGGCTTACCACCACCTCTAGGAAATAATAGTCTCCACTTTTCTTACATCTTCCAAATTTCACTTGTGTTTTTATCATTGGCAAGCTATAATCTGAAGCTATAAAGAGAAAAGAGTTGTGTGTAGTTTTTGATTTCAGTTCCACAATGCAAAATTGACTTTTCACTGGTGTGATGGTAATGCCACTTTGGCAATTGACATTCCCACATAGAGGGGAAAGTTCAGTCTGGCATCAAAACTTCTCTACCATAACAGTCAATGTAAGAGACAGTGGAGTGATACCTATATGCTCTTAATACAAGAAGTGTCAATCAAGGATTTATATACACCCAAGCCTATTATTCAAGTGTAAGCAAATCGAGAAATACTTGGGGATCATGCAGTTACTTTTGGTATACAGTTCTCATTACTGCTTCCTTAATAAACTCCTGGAGGACAAGCTTCACCAAATAGAAGAGCTGAATGAAAAAACTGCAGTGCAAGAAATTTCTGTGAACATTGAACCTTAATTGATAGGCTAAGACTAAAATAATCTGAGGATTATAATTACAAAACAAATAAAATTTGAGAGGAGAAGAAAGAGGTAGAGAAGGCAATCTACAGATTCAATATATGGAAATATAAATGACCACGAACAGCCAAAACAATCCTTAGCAAAAGAAACAAAGCAGGAGGTATCACACTTCCAGACTTTAAGGTTTTTTTGTTTTGTTTGTTTTGTTTTTGAGTTGGAGTCTCACTCTGTCACCCAGACTGGAGTGCAGTGGCCGCTCCCGGCCACCACAGCCTCGACCTGCTGGGCTCCAGCGATCCTTCCACCTCAGCCTTCCAAGTAGCCGGAAATACAAGCATGCGCTACCACGCCCAGCTGATTTTTTGATTTATTGTAGAGATGAGGTCTCGCTGCCCAGGCGGGTCTCGAACCCGTAGGCTCAGGCAATCCACTCACCTCAGCCTCCCAAAGGCGCGGGATTACAGACTGAGCCACCGAGCCCCGCCAGACTTTAAGGTTTACTGAAAGGCTACAATAATCAAAAACAGCCTGGTATTGCTACAAGAACAGGCATACGAAACAATGGAACAGAATAGAGATTCCAGAAGCAAAACCTCAATTTCTCAACCAACTCATTTTTGACAAAACCTCTGACAATAACCATTGGGAAGAGGAGAAACCTATTGAGTAAATGATGCTGGGAAAACTGGCTGATCACATGCAGGAGATTGAAACAGTACTCCTAACCTATCACCATACACAAAAATCAACTCTTAGTGGATCAAAGAACTAAATATAAAGCCTCAAACTATAAGAACCTTAGAAAATGCAGGAGACATCCTTATGGAAATTGGAACTGGCAACCAATTTCTGATCAAAACCCCAAGTGTTCATGCCATAAGAGATATGATAGACAAGTGGGACTTCATCAAAGTGAAAAGATTCTGCAAAGCAAAATATACCATCAAGAGAGTAGGGAAACAGCCTACAGAGTGGGAAAAAATATTTGCCAACTGTATATCAGACGAAGGCCTCACATCCAGATTCTGCAAGGAACTCAAATATGCCGAAAGGAAAAAAACAAACAGCCTCTTTAAAAAGTGGGCAAAAGACATGAATAGACACTTCTCAGAAGATATACGGGCAGCCAACTGACACATGAAAAAGTGCTCAGTCTCACTCATCATCAGAGAAATGCAAATCAAGCCCACATTGAGATACCACCTAACCCCAGTAAGAATGACCATCATTAATAAAAACAAACAAACAGGATGCGGAGAAAAAGGAATGCTTTTACACTGCTGGTGGGAATGCAAACTAGTGCAACCTCTTTGGAAAATAGTTTGGCAATTTTTGAAAGAACTAGAAATTAACCTTCCATATGACCCAGCAATCCTCCTACTGGGAATTTACCAAGAGGAACTCAAATCATTCTACAAAAAAGATGCCGGCTCACACGTTTGTTGCAGCACTATTCACAATAACAAAAACATGGACCCAACCATGCTGCCCATTGAAACTGAACTGGATTTTTAAAATGTGATACATATACAAAATGGAATATTATGCAGCCATAAAAGAAGGACAAACATATGGACTTTGTAGCAATTTGGATGGATTTAGAATCTATCATACTCAGTGACCTATCACAGAAACAAAAAAGAGTACCATATGTTCTCACTCATAAACCAACTTGAATAACTATCCTCATACTATAAGAAAGAGATTGGCAGTGGGATACTGCCAGGGGAAGGGAGGGTGGGATTGGCAGTAATGGGAAGCTGCCAGCAAGGGGTACACCTCATCAACAAGGGTGCCTGCATAATGAACAGTTGGTATACCTAACCCTGAATTGTACCCCACATCTTTAAAATAAAAAAATAAAAAGAGGTAGAAAAAACATCCTTGTTTCTTCATTGTTTATAGCTAAGGCCAAAGATACTAAAATATACAATTTAAAGCTGATAAACTAATCAATGCAATAATTGTAAATGTATTTAAATATTTTATAAAAATTAGTGATGTGAAGTGAAGAAAGGAGCAAAGAAGAAACGTTATTACATCATGCTAAGAGATTAATAACACATACACCAAATGAGGTGAAAATACCATATGGTGAAATATTTTTTTAAAGAAGCTCTAACATAGAAATCGTTACATAAAATATGAAGTAAGACCAAGCACAAAAGGCTAAAATAACCTCAAAGATCCAACAGAAGGTCAGTTTATCTCCAAGGTGTCTGAAGAATGAGTTCTAAATTTTTCCCTAAAGTAATATCACTGCAAGATAAAGTCTTTTGTTGCCACTAGGCTCTCTATTTGTGAGAACTCATTTATCCTCCCACTCTCCTTCCTAGGGGAATTCAGGAATGATTGTCTGACTCTCTCTGTCCAGGTGAGCAGAAGAAAGGGAGTTTTTTTTTCTTGAAACGTATTATTGTCATATTGGACTAGATAGCTAAAAACATCATATGCCAGGCAGTGGAGTTAACTTTGCCATCTGGGAAATGTAAAGCAATGTGAAAGCTTCTGACATAAGAATTAAGAGAGGAAAGTGAGTACATTCATAAGATTAATTTTTTAGTGATCTGAGGAGAAAAGAAAGATGAGAATAAGAGGCACTGGGGAGTCCTAGAGTGCTGGATCTCAAACAATCCTTAGAGGGCAGAAATGGACTCATATAAGGCCAATGATTTAGAGGCAGAATTAGCACTAGAATCCACATCTATCTTTCCATACTCTCTCTAGCAGACCAGGCTCACTTTTACTAAAAGAAAATATATTGTACACTACAATTAGCTACTGGTAGAAGGGAGGACATCAAAGATGATGGCATGATGCCTGAGAAGTAGGAGAAGACATCACTATTGTTGGATAAGTTGTGTTCTAGAGAAAGAATAAATTTTATATAATTTTTATGGACTTTCTTTTTTTTTTCCTAGGTAATGCAGATCGTGACCAAGCCATATGTATGTATTGTTGTCCTTTGTTTCTTAAAAAATTTAACTATTTTATGTGAAGTCCAGCTTTCAATTGCTTCTTTATTTACAGATTACCGATTTTGGTATCCGAGGTGGGAAGTGCCCCGGCCAATTGTGTGTGACCCACTGTGCGCATTTATTTTCTTTCTGAGAATGATAAGTTTGGTGGTGTGTGTCATAATTGTTTGGATAGTACAGCCTCAGTTTCCAAATATCTTATTGGAACAACAGATGACATTTACCCCTGAGGAATCTGAAGCAGAGAGAGAAAAGGAGGAAGAAGAGGAAGAGGAAATGGAGGAGGAAAATGAAAATGAAGAGGAAGAGGAGGAAGAGGAGAAAGAGGAGAAAGAGGAGGAGGAGGAGGAAAAAGAAAAGGAGAAAGAAGAGGAAAAATAAGAAAATGAAAAGAAGAGTGAAGAAGAAGGGGAAAATGTACCACCAACATAAGTGAAAAGGATGACACAAAAAAAGTGAAAAAAATAAAACACGAAAGAAAATATACAAACCACTATTGCAATATTTTTTATTCCCTTTCCTATACTTATGTAACAAATTTAAATTTGAAAACAAGCAAACAAAAATATGTATAGTAAGTATTGAGGTGAGGTCTTCAACACTAAGAGCAAATAAAGATGTGATAATAGAAACACTATAAAAAGAATCTAACCAATCTAATTAATCTTAAGATTTCACTGTGGTATTCTGATAAAGAAGGGAATTTTCATTTTATAAATGTTTCCATCTCTGTACTTTAAATATTTTTAAATGAGTTAATAAGTTTCTTGAGTATTAAATAGAATTATTCATGAAAGGGGCTTGAGATCATTCCAAGTTCAGAATGATCTTTAATAAATATTTAATATATATTTGATTTTTTGTTTTTACTACTATCATAGTTGTTACTGGTGGTGGTAGTGTTATCCATGTAATATCAGGGTATCTAGAATTCTTATTAATCTTTGTAGTATATGTTTTTTGAATCGTTTAAGTAAAACTGTACATCCTATTAGGAGGCAAGCTTGTTATTTCTACTTCATGTTCAATATTTCATTTAAGACTTGCTGCAATTTGTTGCTACCAAGGGCTAATAAATGAAAAATTTTAATTAGTTGTCATTCAGCAATCTGGCTACTTCCAAATTTATGTAATAAAATAAATGTATTTAAAGTTATTTATTTGTAGATTATTCTATATGTATAGTAAAAGTTCACAAATTAATAAGATAACTACTTACCACTGGTAATACTAATAAATAAACTAAATTAAAAATGCCTAGCATAGACGAATATGCCAAATGGTAAAAACTGTATATTTATTAACTCTATTGTTCTTCAGTTGAATCAATATTATATTATAAGCTTATTCTTAATGGGAGGGGAAAAAAAACCTGAACTAGCCTCTTAGATTTGACAGTTTGTTTTGATTGTTTATTTCATTTGCTTTGTTTTGTTTTGTTTTTTAAGAGCTCTGCTTTTTAGAGATTAACATTTTTTATATCTATGAAGCTAGCCTGTTTTATACCAGCCTCCTTGGATAAGGTCCTAAATAGAGGAAAGGGCGGTTCTCTACATGATTTTATTTTTTATTATTGTTTATTTGTATTCTGCTTCATAGCTCCCAAAGTCCTTTCACATAAGTATTTAATACTCAAAAACACCCTTGCAGAACTGGTATTTCCTCTATTTTTAAATTGAGAAAATTGACCCTGGATTTGTAAAGTGGTTCGACCTAGGTCTGACAACAAATTAATTTCTTAACATTTTGAATCTTCATGAATTTATACTGTGTTTAATTCCTACATGTGACTAACTTGTTATATATCTGTATACCTAACTTCTAATCCTCTACATCTACTTTTTCTTCTTTTCCCTCAGGAATGCCTATAAATTATAGGTTTGGTCACTTTACATAATCTCATATTTCTCAAATACTTTATTCATTTTTTTACTCTTTTATTTTTGTCTGCCTGGGTTAGTTCAAATGACCAGTTGTTAAGCTGTGAGATTCTTTCCTGTTGGTCTAGTCTATTGTTAAAGCTTTCAGCCAAATTTCATACATTTTTCAATTAATTTTTATTTCTATAAGTTCTGTTTTTTTTAATATCTATTTGGTGATTTTTTGTTTGTATACTAAATTGTATTTATGATTTCTATGTGCTGGTTCTCATCTTTCTCTGAGATCTCATTAAGCTTCCTTACAGTCCATATTTTGAACTCCTTATCATTTCAGAAATTTCATTTTGGTTGGAATTCATTGCTAGAGAGCAAGTGTGATCATTTAGGGTGTTGAAACACTGTTTTTTCACACTGTAAGAGTTCTTATGCTGATTCCTTCTCATCTGGGGAAGCTGTCACTTCTTATTTTTTAATTACTTTCATTTGGGTGGGACTTTTTTTCTCCTTGAAGATGTGATCATTTGACTTTGATTATGGGTGCTTTCAGGGGACCAAGATTCTGTATGACTTCCTTGGCTGTAGATAGATTTTATGCAGTGCCTCTCCCAGATGCTGAATGCAGTAGCAACGCGTTTGGTGTGTGAGCAGGTTCACTGCCTCCTGTGGGACTAAGTGTGGACTTCTCAGGAAGTGTATCTTACACCCTAGCACTGTACTCTTCAGTCTGCAGGTTTTGTATGTGGTGGTGAAGTTCAATCTCCAGTCCAGTAGGTGGCTCTTATGGGTAAGAGCTGGCTGCAGCAGAAGCTGATGGGTATGTGCTTGATCTGTGTTTACTAGGAGGGGAATCTCTGTTGTCATAGGCAGTTGGCTGATCTGTGGACTCCTCAATGTCCTAAGTTCACCACTCAGCCCCTGGGATTGGGGTCGGGGGAACGGACAAAGCTGGGTGGAGTTGAATTGCCAAGCTCTTCCTTGGACACCCGAATAATGAGCCGGAGAACCCACTCCGATGCGGATGGCAGAGAGATGTGGTGGTGAAATGCACTAAGGTCTCCAAGAGAGGGTAGGGGAGGAGGCTGCACCAGCTCTATGTTTGGGGCAGGCAGGAAAGTAGTCTGCTTCCATATTTACAGGCTCATGGCCTTCAGCCCAGATAGACATTGCCCTTTATCTCCAGGCCACAAAACAACTGAGATATGCAAAAAAAGGCCTGTCCCCTGGCGACTGCTGAAATGGCTTTGGGGCAGAGCTTCCCCCCTCAGTTTAAAACAGACAGCTCTACAACTTGCCTGCACTCTGCTGCAGGAACTCTCCCACTCCACATGGAAAGGGGATTGGGCCCTGCCCTTCACACAAGCCCAGGCCAGCAGGCACACCATCAGTGGGGGTGCAGCCTCTCCAAATAGTCCTAGAAAGGCTGTGTACAGGTGCACCCGCACCAGCCTCCAGCAGGGACAGCCACAGCTGCATCAACAGCAGCGGGCAGGGGGTAGGATGAGACGCCTCTCCGCATCCATTCCTGGACACTGGAATGGAACACACTCCTCCCCTATACAGCCTAGCAGTGTGGCTTTGTTTCCACTGGGAGGGGTACAATCACCTTCTTCTCACAAGTAGGGAGTTCTCAGGCAGAAGAGAGTGCGTGCTATGGTTTTATTTGCCTCCAGGGGCACTTTGGTGTGATGCACTCTCCTTTGCAGGGGGTGAGAAGGGAGGGATTTTGACCTGTAGTTGGTTGAATCCGCAGATGTGGAAGGCTAACTGTACTGCCTTGAGCCTGGAACTGTAGCTGTACTCTCAAAAGACCATCCTAATGCTTTATCAGGCCAGCAATTTCAACATGGTGTGATGTGTAATACAACCAGTGAATTCTGTAGTCAGGTTCTCCTCCTGAAATTCCTTCACTGTGAAATGAAACCTCTACTTAAATGCTAGCTTGTGTGGGATTCTATGCCTGTGGATCAGGCACACAGTAATTCCATACATTGTGGTGTTGGCTAAGACTGTGAAGGCAGGAAAATCAAATCCATACCCAGAATAGGTGTCAGAACAGATGTCTATTCCAATGAGAAAAAGACTATTGACTTTTCCAGGATATAAGGGGCCTGATATAGTGAATTTGCTACAAATTGCCAATTGTCTTCAGAGAATAGTGCCATGATGGGAACTCATTATTAATCTCCTTTGTTGGTAGGCTGCACATACATACTTGGATCAGCTTTGATAAATGGAAGTCCATACAAATGGACCTATGTGTTGCATTTATGTATTCCATTTACCCATCATACTTATTCTGGGTAGCCAAAAGTCAAAGGCTGGCAAATGTCAACTTGTTATTTTGTCTACTTGACTGTTCAGAGATTCTGGTGGACATTAATCTACAAAAAATTTTCACACATCATTCCCATTCCTATGTCTTCATTCACAAGCCATCACCCCAGATCTATTTCTGATCTTCCAATCCTTTCCTTTTTAACACCCTGATTTCCAATCAGGCATTTGCTACTGTTCATGTGTTCATATTTATTTTCACCTCAGGCCACTTCTGCTTTCATGCAAGTGGATTTGTACAAAGAGAATGGCCAGATCTACCACTCAAAGTTCCACTTTGAAGATTTTTCCCTCACTAATTTATTTCATGGTCACCCCTGAGTGTGACTGTTATGCAGCCATTGTCCATTTTCATCTTATATCCACCTGTCAAGCCAACCAATTGATACATCAAGAATGGATTTTTTTTATTTCCTTTATCTAGTGGTACAGGAACTCCTCTCCATATAGGGATGGGCGTGAGCTGATTGAGGAGTGCTGGTACAACTGTGGCAGGTGGTATGGAGGTCCAGGTTATCTGCTTACGTAGCTTACTCACGGCATCTGGACCTACTCGAGTATTATTCCAAATGTACCATTTATATCTTCTAGATATATTGTAAGTAGAACTGCCTGACCTTATGATCTGTGAGTCTGACAAAATACAGCTTCATGACAGACAGTTCAGAACACATAGTCACCTCATATCCTATCAGGTGCTGTGCTGCTTGCTTTGCAATAGTGTACAGAGAGGCAGTAATTTGTCATTTACTTTAGAGGAGCAGTATTAGCATCTTCCTGACCTTTGGATCCCTAAAATTCATATTGTAGTGGTTGATTTCTCTGAAATGCATGTATCTCACTAAGGCCTCCAGTATACTAGCCAATTCTTGCTCATCCAGCCAGATCAGCCAACTATTATTAATGTAATAAATCAATGTGAAATTGTACACATATCAGATAGTCCAGTTCTCTTCTAAATATATTCTGATAATGGGTAGGACTGTTAATATAACTCTAGGGCAAAATTATATGCCTTTCATGTGAATGCAAACTATTTCTGATCCTCTTGATTAACCGGGATTTTAAAGAAGAATACATTGACCAAATTAATACCTGCATGCTATATAACTAAGGCCTTACTAATCTGTTCAAGCTACTATACCACATCCAGTTTGGCAACTATGA